GAACCGGGGTCCAAACTTCTCCGATTCGCTTGAAATCGGCACCGTTGGTTTTGTCTTGTCGCCCTGATTCCAAAAATACCCCTACATTCCCTCCTAGCTGTATCCGTTGCCGAAATCCTCCTCGACCCCATGTGGACCATGGTGCACCTGGAGCAGCGCCCCCGGGGCTCGGATCGGATTTGCTGCCACCGGGCGGTTCTTAGGGTCACCCAAGGAGGCTGCAAACCAAATTTGGTCAAGATCGGACCACGGGAAGTCCTCGGACGAACGGACGGACAGACGCACAGCAGGGATACTATACGCCCGTCCCTCCGTCTTTTTTTTTTTTTTTTTTTTTTTTTTTTTTTACAAAAAATAAACGGGACGGGCCAAAAAAGGGGGTCGACCAAGAATTTTTTTTTATTCCTGAATCGAGTAGGTCATATGAGACCTTTTTAACGAATGGTCGGAACCGAGGTCAAAAAAAACTCGCATCAACACGCAGGGGCGCGCAAAACTGACAATTTAGTGGAAATGATGAATTATAAAAATCTTTGAGGCCAAATATCTTGAACAGCCGATCTTGCTACAGTGTGGGCCCCTTAAGCAAATTTGAAGCTCTCATTCTCAGCTTTCAGAATATGTCAAGAAAAGATTCGGATTCATAAAATTGTTCTTGAAAAATACAAAAAACGAGTAAAAACTGGCATTTTTAGTGGAAATGATGCAATGTAAAAATCTTTGAGGCCAAATATCTCGAATAGCCGATCTCGCTACAGTGTCGACCCCTAAGACAAACTTGTAGCTCTCATTCTTAGCTTTCAGAATCTGCCAAGAAAAGTTTCGGATTCTCAAAATTGGAGTTGTAAGAGCCAAAAAACGAGTAAAAAATGGTGAAATTTAGGGCGTTTGGGGGCATTTTTTGCGTTTTTTACAGTTTTTGACCCCTACATGACCAGGTTTTGATTGGAAACCACTTTTTCCACCATAAACCATAATCCCTAGCCCTTATAAATCGAAAAAACCGCAGAAAAGGCCATGTCGCACTTTTCGCCTTTTGGCCGCACTGTGGCAGCCGCGATCGAGTGGGACTCAACGGAATCGGGTTCTCCAAGGTTCAATGCATGGGTGGAAAGCCGCTTTCCCTTTGTCCTTTGTTTTTCCTCACTTCAGCTATTTTGAAGCACGAATCGACTACACTATACGTTTTTAAAGCATAATTACCGTAGTATTTTTATTTAGAACCAAGTGGGATATTTTACAGAGCTTTTGACATGAAGAAAACAGGAGGCCAAAGAATCATAATTGAAAACAAAAGTACAATAAACAACGCGAGAGTTGCTGAGGCGGGCAGCATCCTGGAGATGGTCTTCGAGAGCACCACGCCGAGCACCTTGACCTCCTCGACGCACGGGAAGGGCATCCGAGAGCATCGGTGTGCTGGTCCGCCACGCGCCGAGCGGCTGGGCCTTGGTCTTCTCGCGGTTGACGCGGAGCCCGGACTCCTCACCGAAGGCCTCCAGGACATCGACCAGCACCAGAGCTGGAGCACGCCCTCGGAGAAGCCGTACTTCCGCAGCACGGCCCACATGCAGTCGTGCAGCAGGTTGTGTAGCGCGCCGGCGAAGTCCACGGACACGAGACACGCCGCCGTGCTGCTGCCGCGCTGCCGGTTGGCCAGGTCGACGAGGGAGATGGCATCGCGCAGGTCCAGCACCCCGCCGTGCATGTTGCGCGAGCAGCCGCCGCGCACCTGCATGGGGTCCAGGATCTTGTGCCCAGCGCATCCCCCCCGCCCGCGACAACGCGGCCGAAGACCTTGCCGTCCACGTTGAGCAGCGTGATGGGCCGGCGGGCACCTAGGGGATGAGCGTGACCACGCCGCGGACGTCGCTGGCACCGACCCTTCGACGCTCCAGCATGGCGTTCGCCACGGCCTGGAAGTCGTCCGTGGACGTCCCAGGTCGCGAGGTAGAACTCCGCGGTGAGGTCGTCGTCCCCTGGACTGCGGCCGCGCGGCGACAGCTTGAGGCACTCCAGGAGCTCCTCGGCGGTGACGGGGCGCAGCAGGGCCTCGTTGTCGTCCTCCGTGACCGTGGCCTCGACGACCTCGTCGAGGAGCCGCGGCGCGTGGGGCGCGGGGCCGGCCGGCGGGGCGCCGAGCAGGGCCTGGAAGTGGCGGAGTGTTCTGTCGCTACTCCCTGCTGAAGTCGTTGGTGTAGATGGGGTATTGACACTTCTTGTCCTTTCTGCTAACAGCGCCCCATAAAGGAACGCCTGGGGGGGAATTGACTAGAATGGGCTTCTTATCTGCAATAGTTTTAAAGGAAAGAAAAACTATTCTTTAAACTTTTTTTTGAACAAAGTTTTGAACAAAACATGTTTTAATTTTTTTTTTTTAAAAGAAACAATTTTTTTCTCCCAAGATAACAGAACAACTCTATTTAGTGAAAAGAAGGTACACGTTGTTTTCCCAAACTAGTTTCAAAGCGAGTCAAGTCATTTTTGTAGACTGTCATTGCTTTATTATTGTTGACATAAAACTCAAAACCTGTCATTTCAGGCTGGGGTGGTGTGTAAAAAAACCTAGTATTGACTTTATTGATTTAACTTCTGTTAAATCTTTGACATTCATTTCCAATAGAGGAAATGTTTTGGGGGAAGCGCCTCTGAGCCTTCTTTACAGTGAAAAACTTATTTTTCTCCTTTAAAATTGCCTCTTAGACATTTCAATCCTTTCCGTCGTATATCTGTCTTTGAACTTTTTATTTGATAGAACGCCTCCCAAAACCAAAAACTTTTGTGTAAAGATTTGAGTATGATGAGTTAAATTACAGAAATCTTCAGCTCATTCAAAGTTTCAACTCATTCTGAAGGGTTTTTGACTTGTATTTTGCTCCATTTCTTACATTTTACTAAACCTTCCTAAAATCCAACATTTTTAATGAAAATCAGATGTAAACCACTCTATGAGCTCCATTTGAAGAAGCTGATAGTGTTGAGATGCTTTTCTTGATACAGTTCTGAGTGGTAAAGAATTATTATGGAACTATATTTTAGGGTTACTTCCCAAACCCAACTTCGGCTCTAGGTTACGATTTAGCTTCACTTAATGATTACAGTGGTGGTGCACCAAGAGAGACTCTCCATATGTTTTTATTTGCACTGGGTTAAATGAAATGGGGGAACAAGGTTGTTTTCGTCCTTACTTTTCAAAGAAAATAGAATATCTAACAAGAATGATTTTGAATTTAAGAGGGCTCATACATGTTAAAAGCACTTTGAAAATTTTTTTTTTTGATGTAGAAGGATAAAATTTTTTTTTATTAAAACCTTTTTAGATAATTGAGTAAGCTTCATTTTGGCATAAAGTAAAGTGACTTTGGACATTTTTGGAAAATTTAGTAGAAACTTTTAAAATTTTTGGTTCTCGTAAGATTTTATATCTGTCTTTGAACTTTTTATTTGATGGAACGCCTACCAAACCGAAAACTTCTGTGAAAAATTTGAGTATGATGAGTTAAATTACAGCAATCTTCAGCCCAAAAGTTTCAACTCATTCTGAAGGGTTTTAATCTGGAGTTTTGCCCCAAATTTCTTACAATTTTTACCAAAACTTCTAAAAGTAAACAATTTTTAATAAAAAAAAAGTAAAAACTGCTCCGTGAGCTTCATTTGTGAGCTTCATTTAAAGAAGAAAAGGGGAGTGGAGATGCTTTTCTTGATGCCAATTTGTGTGGTGAAGAATTTTTATAAAAGTAATTCAGGGGTTTGTTACCCAAAACAAGTTTGGCTCTGGGCAACGATTAAGCTTCGCTTATTGATTGCAAAGATGGTGTACCCAGAAAACTCATCACATTTTCTTTACTTGCATCTGTGACTTGCAGCTGACTTTATCAGCTAACCAGAGTCGGCAGTAAAAGCAGTGATTCAGCAAAAATGTCAGCGATTTTTTTTTGGGGCAGATGTGGCTGACTTTGCTACGAAACACTCTATTTCGTTGAAAACAAACTCTGCGGCTTAATGGTTGGTGGGGTTAGGAAGAAACTTGGAGTGGATTAGTTTACCACACATAACATTAATACCTTACAGTTTTCACCACCTCAGACATTTTTAAGATTTCCCCCCGGCATCACCTTTTAAAACACTGAATTTTCGAAGTGTTGTCTTTGTAACCAAAGCGATCGATCAACCCTGTTCTAAGTCAACAATTTTATATCTAAATGACGAAAAAATAATAATGCCTAAAAAGAGAGCAAATAGTGAGTTTCGAATCACGGACGCGACGCATGCGAATCCGCTGCGGTACCACTGCCCCCCGCCCCGTGCATCTAGCGCCATCCGAGAGCGGTACGGGCTAGTGGCTAGCCGGCTGCTGCAGCACTCGCTCCCCCTCCCTTGCCTCCCCCTCCTCTGGAGCGTGGGGGTTGGGGGCGGGGGGAAGGTGTGGTGGCAGGGGGCCGCGGCAGTGCAGCGTTGCCGCACCATAACCTGGCCCCCCGCCGACCTGGCTCACTCGCTAACCTGGCTCAGTTGCAAAACCCGGGGCAGTCGCTAACCTGGCTCAACTGCAGGCCTGCGACATCCCATAACCTGGCGCAGCTGACAACCTGGCTCACTTGCTAACCTGGCGCAGTCGACAGCCTGGCTCACTCGCTAACGTGGCTCACTTGCTAACCTGGCGCAGTTGCTAACCTGGCTCACTTGCACGCGTCTCAAATAAGGGTAGGAAACATCTAAGAAAATTAGATGAATTTGCTCAAAATACAAAAGACTAAAATCAAACCCTTCCCAGTGGCTCCCAGCGTCATATAAAAATCTATAAACGTCATTTTATATTGTATTAGAGTATTATAGTTCGTTTCCAACCCCCAGAATGCCCCCTGCGACACTTTTGAAAAATCGATTTATTCCCCCTAAAACAGGATTTTAAACCACTGTGGGGTGGGGGTCTGCATTGGCTTCGCTTGAAGCAAACAACTTAGCTCCAGCTCTACCAGTGTGGATTCTGTTGTGCGTAGCAAGCGGAGATCGGCTTTCCGGCGGCGGAGGAAGCGCGAGGCGGTGTGGCAGCGGGAGCAGCTCAGCGGGACTGACTCCACGACGACGGCCGACGGCGGCCAGCAGCGTGATGACGTCGACGACCTGTTACGCGCTCATGCTGCACGGCCGGGGGCGGCAGGCCACCACGGCGGTGGTCATGCGCACGCTGGCCGACGACAACTGCCGGGTGCACCCAGCAAAAAGGTTTCTTGACTTTCTCTTGTCTTGCATTTTCTGTTTATCCAGAGAAAAAAAAATTCGCTCCAAGTGAAAGATGGAGTGAAGTATCGCAAACCGGGGCCACTTTGCCCACAGGGGTAACTTTGGCCCAGCGGCCAAAAACGTTACCAATGGAATAAGAACAACTTAAAACGAATTTCTAGCCCATGGGCCACCAAAGTTACCCCGGTGGGTCAAAGTAGCCCCAATTTGCTTGTTCTTTTAAAAAAATTGAGTGAAAGCCTAGCTAAGTATTTTTTGTTTTTGAATGAGTATTGGTTGATTCTGGGATGATTCGCAGGGAGCGGGACCAATACGGCAGGGACTTCCTCTGCACGGGCCTGGCAGAGCGCTGGGTCAAGGAGCAGGCCCGGGCGGCCCTCGTGGGCTTGGTGGTAAAGGAGGCCGAGGCGGTCCGGGTGGTCATGGAGCAGGCCTAAGTGGACTGGGGGGAAAGGGACCGCGGCCGGGTGGTCTGGGCGGTCATGGAACTGGTCCGGGTGGTCTTGGAGCAGGACCAGGTGGGGGACCGGGCCCGGGTGAGCCGCCTGGCAAGGGGGGTCCAGGGAGCCCGGACAGCCCAGGAGCAGGCCCAGGTGGCCCGGTTGGACAAGGACCAAACTTAGGCGAGCCGGGTGGGCCAGGAGCCGGTCCAGGCGGGGCGGCTGGCCAGGGAGCTGGACTGGAAGGACTGATCGCTGCTGCAGGGCAGGCGGCGCAGGGGGTAGTCGCCGCTGCTGGACAAGCAGTGCAGGGAGTAGCGCAAGTGATAGGAGAAGCTGTTGGCGGTGGGCCAGGCGGCGGCATCCCGGCGGCAGGGGCGGACCAGTCGCAAGCCGCCGGGCCTGGTGGCAACGCTCCTGCGGCCGACGGCGGTTCGGAGTCGTCCCAAGCAGGGCGGGGCGAGCTCGGGGCTGGTTTCTTGAAGTTACTGTCGAAATTAAGGGAGGTTGTGGGATAGCGAGTTATTGGCTGAGCACTCTTAGAAGTCGTCTACGAAGCATTTCCTTCTTAACTACGAAGAAAATAAAGCCGTTGTAGAATTGCTTCGCAGTACGAAGAAATGCTTCGTATTGCGAAGAATTTTGCCGTATAATACGAAGCCTTTCTTCGTAGATTTTCTTCGTACAACGAAGCGATTCTTCGCAGAGTGTTTACTGTGAGGGGTAGCTAAGCAACACTAAACAATGTGATTTGAATTTGGCGAGACTTTCATGTCTCGTCTCTGGAGTGGCGAGAAGTCTGACGTTTGGATTTGTAGTGTTGTTGACGAACAACGTTACTCGTCAGTAAATAACGTAAGTCATTTGTAAACAACTTTGATCATTCAGAAATTAAACAACACATTTACTGCTAAATTACAACAGTATTTTTATCGGTGAAGGCAACACGTATCTGTGAGCTGGTTAATATTTACTAGTGCTTCCCATTTTGAGGCACATTCTGCCTCTATCTTTCAAGGTATTGGCTACTGCTTCCCACCTAACATTAAGTCAACTGTACAGCAACTATTTTTCACCGAATTCAATGCCAGCATCGTCTTGTCTCAAATTAACAGTTTGGACAGAACAGACCAGGGGCACGAAGTGTAAAACCATTTCTGTAGGATAGATGGTAAGCCATGGATAATGTTTTGTTTATCTGATTTTTCTTAATCTGGGTCTCGTAAACCATCAAAAAGTTGTTCCAGGATTTTTAATTGCCCTTCAGTCTGTTGCACAATATTCGAAGATTTGACTCATTGCTCCTTCATTGAATCTAGGATCCCGTCGAACGAGCAGGTACAGATGCAATACTTTCCACACTTTTCCGGGCCTAAAACGCAATTGGGGGTATAGCAATCGATGCAGCGGCAGTTCGGAGTGGTGCATTGATTTGAGCAAAAGAATCCTGCAACAAACAAATTATGACATCACACTACATGAATTATTTACGATTATTTATGAAGGAAAAAGACTCTTCCGTACGTCTATTGCAGCGGTTCCCAACCTTTTTCAGCCCGCGACCCCAAAGCGGCTCCCAAAATTTTTCGCGACCCCAGGAACAATATTACGCGACCCCATCTTTTTCGGGGGAGGGGGATTTTTTCGAAAATTAACTGTCACATTTTGAATTTTGACCGAATTTAGAGGGTTTGAGTGTAATAAATAGAGGGCCAAAATTTGTAATGAGACATTCTAATTTTCAAATGATAGCTGCCTTGCTGTGTTACTTTTGACACCCAAGCTTGGTACTGACCGACCCCCAGGAGCCAACTCGCGACCCCACGTAGCATGCCGCGACCCCACAAAATTTTTCCGAGACTCCAAATGGGGTCGCGACCCCGGGGTTGGGAACCACTGGTCTATTGGGTGTGTGTGTGTGTGCGCGCGGGCGTGCGTGTGTGTGTGTGTGTGTGTGTGTAAAAAGGGGGGGGGGCGCTCGAAGGCGTTTTGTCACTGGATCAGTAAACACGGTTAAAATTTTAAATTTTACAAGAACCAGTCTTTACTGCCCTTGGCCCTCTGAGGTCGTACGTGAATAAATATCAAGAGACCTGTGAGACTGGAAGATTACTAAATTTTTATCACTGTGAAGTACCAATCACTCATGAACAATGAGACCCTGACTAGATTAAGATTGAAGCCATTGAGACCTGGAGACAAGCTTTGGATAAAATCCTTGTTTGGGAGCTGGTAGATGCAAAAGTGTCAATTCGGGAGGATATCATACCCACGGGTTAGTGACTACTGTGAAAAAGATGAAAGAAGGCCAGGTTGGTAGCGACAGGATTTCAACAAATCACAAAAAGGCGAGATGAAATACAGTCCTGTTGTTACGAGGGGTGAATCGCTAGTGTATTCATATGTACAAATTTGCCCGTACTAAGTCTATTCACAAGTTTAAAAAGGGCGAAATTCTCTTGTTTTTCGACCTAACGTTGAGGACGTTGAGTGCCGTTAAAAACGCAAAATAGAGCCTTAAAACGTTTAAAATCGTGAAATTTATGAGTAAGCAAGGTGTACACACCCGTATTCATGTACAAATGTGTACACCCGAACGCTGAGTGATTCACCCCTCGTGTTGTTCGCACCACCAACTTAAAAATTCTCTTCTCACTTCGACGCGTCCTAATACAACAATCCCAACTGTAAGCGGAGATCCCAGACAATCCTAACTATCATTGCAGATTTAGAACAATCCTAACTGCAGAGGTATACCTAAAAGTTTACATGAACTATCTTCACTGTAAACCAGTGAATCTCGATATCTCTGAAATGCAATGTCCAAGTATATTTATATAAAGATGAAACTTTTTAACAAGCCCTTCGGCGAGTAATTCTATGTTAGCCTCACCAACTTTGAGAAAAGACCGCATTGACACTAACAGTTAATAATGTCTTGGATCTGCTCTGACTGTTAAGATTGTCTTGGATCTACTCGGACAGTCAGAATTATTCTATTAAGACGCGTCGACTTGCTGCCAAAAACAATATCAACACTTTTGATGTGAATGACATCATGGACTTATAAAGGCACAAGGTGGTACGAAGGACTTCCTTCCTACTGGATCTCTAGGGTTTGTGCAATTACAAACAGACAAGTGCATGGTCATGTATATACATTATGATCAATGTAAATTAGTTCATGTAAATGGCGGAATTGAGAAAGGCCCCAGAGCAACATACGTCTGCCGGTGATCGCCGACGTCCCGTTGGTAACAACGCGAGGGCCGACTTGATTCGAGGCCGAAGTAGCTTCTCCTGACGCTAGCGCGGCAACTGCAGCGACGGCCGACAAGTACACCGCGGTGCGCATCACACTGGGCCAGACAGAAGACCGGTGGAGGCGGCTTAAATTCTAGAAGCGTTTTGCGCTCTAGAGTCGTTAAACAGGACCCGAATCGAACGTGTGACCCAACTAATGGATTGCTCTCCGAACGAGAAATTCATTGGTGGGGTCAAACGTGTTGCGTGAGTCCTGCTGAGCGACTCTAGAGCTCAAAACGCGTCCAGAATTTTGGCCGCCTCCACCGGTCTTCTGGCCAACTTTGCGCCTGCCGGTCGCTGGTTGCCAGTGCACTGAGCACCCCATTGTGCACGTGCCACTAGCGGCGCTCTCACTGCCGCGCTGCGTCGACTGCATTGGACACACCGCAATCAATACTCACGCAGCAAACTCAACAGTGTGCTCTTTACGCTCTCTTCGGCGCGATTTGACGAGCACACTCTCGATCGGCACACCCTTAGAACCTTACGAAGTATTTTGAGCATACATACGTGCAAACTAATTTACTTTGTTATGCGAAGAAATAGTTCGTAAATTACGGAGTATTTTCTTGTAAGCTTGCGTATGCTCAAAATACTTTGTTCTAACAAACTGCTTTGCTTTGTAAGGCCTGAAATAGTTTCGAAGGTTCTCTGAGTGCACATGATTAAATTTAGGTGGGTCTTGGCTCTGACTCCGTTTTGGATACACTGTAAGTGTCTTGCGGTGAAAAGGCTGCACCAACATGTTGGTGCTTATTATGTTGGAGATTTTCTCCATAATAACAAGAAATTTCGTCAAAATATCTTTAAGTTACAGTGAATGGTATGTTATGAAGTCAGCTGCACCAACATGGAACATTTTCACCACATCTTCACTGAACAACATTTAGAGTGTACACAGCGGCACTCGTCCTGAACCATTGTTGATCCCAGCCAGGAAGCAAGAGCTTCGCCTCACTTCTGCTTTGCAGTGTTACCGCCCCCTGGTCAAGAATTGTGCGAATTTTCGCTTTCAGCTCGCCGAATTTTGAACACTTTTAGGAAGTTTCAACCGTATTGGACGTTGCCCCTTGACGGTGGGCAACCCAGCAGCGATACTTTAGTAGATGAGGTACTGTGACAGCAGCCATTTTGATGGAGCAGTCTCGCATCCCCCTTCCCCGTCCAGGACCTCCAAGTAGGCCATAGGCAACCAACAATATACATAGACTCCCTGCTCCGTGAAAAAACCGTGAGGCTGTGTTGTCTACTTTGCACCTTCTCCAATGAGCTCTGAAAATTCAGATAATGGTTTGGGAAAACCAAACCTACATATTGGAATAGTGGAACCTTTGGCAGTCCTTAAACAATATGAAGCTGAACATTTTGTATGACGTTGGACACGATTTACAAGTTCAGCTAAATCATTTTCTAAATTTAAAGAATCTGAAAAAGATCTTTCACAAGGGTGAGCTAAGCTTGGAGTAAATGATATATATGGATTTTGACAAGAAACAATCTTCTCAAAATAGTCAACTTTTCTTTGCTTATCATTTTCATTTGAAACATTTTTTTATATCTGGGGCATCTTCCAACCATATAACTCCATGAATGTGTCCCCTACCACGATGTTGAAATTCAACCCTGTACCAAAAATCTATGACATTGAACTTCTTAAAAGGCTTTGTGTAAGAAGTTTTCACAACGAAGTTTGAAAAATGTACTGACTGTCAAAGGGTTTTCACAAATTAACTTTGTTTTCTTTGAGACTGTTAAAGCAGTTAAGTCTTTTACTCCAAGTATTCTGTATAAGTATTTCCAGCGATAATCAGCACTTGATAATGTGAAGAAAACTGTGGGCGATCCTAGTTCATTTACCATGTCTAACAATTCAGAACATCTACTTTACCAATATGATTTTGTTGAACGTAAGCGACTGGAGTAAAACATAATGTGAGACCTTAATTCTGGGTGTGATTTCTGAAAAAAAGTTATTCTTTTTGATACAGACATTTCCCACATTTAAGGACTGCCAACGCATTCGACTGTTCATCATAAAGAATCTAAATCGAGGATCTTTTGCAAACCTTTGAGGGTCATTCCATGGGGGTTCGACATACTTTTGCAAGTGATCTCTCCGATTCCGATGAAACTTTGCGAGCTTGTTGGCTATGGTCTGAAAGCCCCCAAAACCAATTTTGAGCAAAAAATACCGATTTTTGAAAAAGTTATGGCTTGCGTTAGAAATTTTGATTTTCGATGCAGACCTTTTTTGAAAACGCTGTAGTTTCTTCAAAAATGAAGCTACAGAGCTCATTCTGGGCGCATTAGAAAGGTATTGAATTAAACTTTAAGCCTATTGCAACATTTTGACAAAAATGTTCAAATTTGACATACATTGAACAAAGTCAAAATTTTGAACACAATTTTCTCAAAAGTAGTATTTTTGATTTTTTTTCTTTTTTGATATGTTATAGTCCATACTTTAGTCTAGCAACCCTCAAAATTTGATTTGAAAAAATTCATAAACAAGGAAGAAAAACGGTTTTTAGTGTTGCGATTCGGCAAATTTTCGCTAGTTGGAGTGGTGAGGAGAGCAGCATGATGCACATTTGAGACCGCAGGTTGTCGATCTCGAACTTCTAGTGTCACTTGGAACAGTTTTTTGGGGTGCTGAACTTAAAAATTAGATCAGTTTTCGTTTTCAAAATTCCCAGGGGCGGATCAAGGGGGGTGACTTTTCAAAAATCAGGATTTTCGGATGTTGCAACGCGATTTCTATGTTTTTTGGGGTGGAGATATCGAATCTTGAACGATGTTGAATGCAAGTTGGCCCTAAAGCTGATCTAACGTATCGTCAGAACATAAAAGTGTGCAAATAGAAGATCAAAATAGCCCCCAAATGTGAACAACTTTGGCCCGTTGCAAAAAGTAAAGCTAGCGTTGTTACTCACACCCCTGTAGACATAATCAACATGCCACATCCAAACATCTCGAATTCGGAAAAGTCACCCCCATTGCCGCACCCCTTTATTGAGATTACCAGGGGCGGATCAAGAGGGGTGACTTTTCGAAAATCAGGAAAGTATGAGAAACGATATGCAACATCCAAAAATTCTGATTTTTGAAAAGTCACCCCTCTTGATCCGCCCCTGGTAATCTTAATAACGGGGTGCGTCAATGGGGGTGACTTTTCAGAATTCAAGATGTTTGGATGTCGCATGTTGATTCTTATGTCTTCAGGGGTGTGAGTAACAACACTAGCTTTACTTTTTGCAACGGGCCAAAGTTGTTCACATTTGGGGACTATTTGATCTTCTATTTGCACACTTTTATGTTCTGACGATACGTTAGATCAGCTTTAGGGCCAACTTGCATTCAACATCGTTCAAGATTCGATATCTCCACCCCAAAAAACATAGAAATCGCGTTGCGACATCCGAAAATCCTGATTTTTGAAAAGTCACCCCCCTTGATCCGCCCCTGGGAATTTTGAAAACGAAAACTGATCTAATTTTTAAGTTCAGCACCCCAAAAAACTGTTCCAAGTGACACTAGAAGTTCGAGATCGACAACCTGCGGTCTCAAATGTGCATCATGCTGCTCTCCTCACCACTCCAACTAGCGAAAATTTGCCGAATCGCAACACTAAAAACCGTTTTTCTTCCTTGTTTATGAATTTTTTCAAATCAAATTTTGAGGGTTGCTAGACTAAAGTATGGACTATAACATATCAAAAAAGAAAAAAAATCAAAAATACTACTTTTGAGAAAATTGTGTTCAAAATTTTGACTTTGTTCAATGTATGTCAAATTTGAACATTTTTGTCAAAATGTTGCAATAGGCTTAAAGTTTAATTCAATACCTTTCTAATGCGCCCAGAATGAGCTCTGTAGCTTCATTTTTGAAGAAACTACAGCGTTTTCAAAAAAGGTCTGCATCGAAAATCAAAATTTCTAACGCAAGCCATAACTTTTTCAAAAATCGGTATTTTTTGCTCAAAATTGGTTTTGGGGGCTTTCAGACCATAGCCAACAAGCTCGCAAAGTTTCATCGGAATCGGAGAGATCACTTGCAAAAGTATGTCGAACCCCCATGGAATGACCCTTGATCATGATACAACATTAAGTGTTGCATGTATTTTAAGGGTTACATTGTTGTTTTTTCTGTTTGACTAATCAGCGAGACCAAAAGGAAACAGATGTGGGAAGGCCATAGCAATATAACCTGGGCTAAGGGAATGTGGGGCGATTTGTAACAGATTTCGGAATTCTCTATACAAAATCAAGGGGAAATAACTTTGAATTTCGGTGCACAAAATTTTGAATTTCGCATGAATTTCGGTGAATTTCAGTGAATTTCAGTGAATTTCAATGCATTTCAATGAATTTCGATGAATTTCGATGAATTTCGATGAATTTCATTGAATTTCATTGAATTTCACAGCAAAATTCATGAATTTCACAGCAAAATTCATGAATTTCACAGCAAAATTCATGAATTTCACAACAACATTCATGAATTTCATCACAAAATTGAGGAATTTCGGTGTGAGATTTCGTTGCCGCTGGCCTGCAGAGCGACTCCGCATATCCGCATACTCGGCTTCGGCTTTCTCGGACCTCTCTCTCGCACAGAGACTCGGTTGCCGAGCCGGGCCGGCTCGCCACGAGCGGCAGTGCCGGTCTCTAGTCACAAATATACACACACTTTGTAACCGAATGGGGAAGCCCTCTGAGTTTTCACGAGTGCGCGACAAGCTCAGTTGAAGGGAAAGGGCGCCCGATTCTCCATTGAAAAGTGCAGCCATCCGGCAGTGTGGGTTGCGGGCGAGACCCAACCAGGTAGTCCGGGTCGGCCGAGAGAGGAGCGGTCTTGGCCCCCCAAGGACAATTGCCTCTGGCTGCAAAATGTAAATTCGCTTCTAGAAGTCTAAGAGTAAAATAAAGGAGCTCGTTCAATGCGCCATGAAAAGATGTACAAGAGCAGTTTTGAAATTCAGTTCTAGGTCTAGGCCTTCGGGAGATACACAAGAAAATGTGGTTCTATAATTCCGTAATCAAATTGGGTTAAAACTCAAAAATATCACAAAATCCAAAAATAAAATATGGCGTTAACCGCGTGGACATGAGGAAGCAGAATATGGCGCTTAAAGTGTTGAAAAATTGAAAGCGACAGAAGTTAAAATTGGAGACAATAGGAGGAGTGCACCGCGGCAGGCAGGCCGACCCTCGGACCAACACACATTCACACACACACGCACACTGGCTCACTCTCGGGGGGGTCTCGGGCGGGGAAGAGAGAAAACTGACGACAATGGCGTTTTACAATGAGGGGTCTTTGGGATGAATAGTCTTTGT